GCAGCGCGCACTCGGGAATGTCGCTACGACTCTGGGCGCTGACCATGGTGGCGAAGGCGACTGCCACGACGGTAGTGAACTTCATGACGATGGTATTAGCAGTCAGTATGTTTGGTTGGGTGGGGTATGACAGTGAGCGTTACTGCTGAGCCAGTGATGTAATTAATCGCCCGGATTAATTAGCGATTCAATGAATCTGAATCGGAGCTTGGATTATTTATCTGAATCGCAGGCCTACAGGATTAATTAAGTTTCAGGCGATTAATTAAAGTGGGACAAGCTATCGTATTCCCACTTGATTGGTTCCGTTGGACGCATTCGCGTGGCCGTCGCCACGCGGAGACACGGAGGTTGCGAGTGTTGTACTTATCACATAGAAGATTTAACCTATAACTACCCGTGAGCCAGATTTACGGGAAGCATCCAGCAGCATTGCTTCAGTTCCGCTATAACGTGTTGAACAATTATGCAATGCCACTGCCCCAACTATCATGGTTTCGGCGGATTCATCATGTGCCCTTACCGAGGATCTGGACAGTCGGTCCGGAGCCAAGAGGCCGCGCGAAGACTCCGGCGTCTGTCGAGAGTCTGCACCAACTTCCGAGATCTCTGATACTGTATCATCAAGAAAGCGCGTTCGCACCCCAACAGCAATCGATATCTGGGCGGAAAGCCGACAGCCAGCGAAAAACGAGCCTGAGCGGAACAGGCACGGTCAGAAAATATGGTATTGCAAACGGTGTGCCTACTCTCAAACAGCACACAACAGAGTTCGCGATCACCTCCGGGACAAACACTACATCAGAATTTCCAAACGACGGACTGCAAAAATTATTGACCAAGAAAACGCGATCGACAGGCTATTTGAGCAACAAGCTGCGAGACAGGAAGGGCATGATATTGAGCAGGAGCATCATCTTCTTGCGGCGGTGGATGACGAGTTGTACAACCAAGCCCTGGTCAACCTTTTGACGGCGCATAGCCTGCCGCACAGCCTGGTCGAGTGGCCTGAGTGGTACGCCATGCTCCACACAGTCAACTACATGGCTCCAGGAGTCGTTACGCAAAGTCGGGGACAAGTCCCCAAGCTACTGGAAGCCAGCTTTATCACGCATCGCGAGAAATTGAGATCAAAGCTGTTGTGCCAGTCTTGCCCCTAGCACCGGAGGACTCCACCCTGGTCGTTCTAATAGCAAGGTCAAGATCAATCAGAAAAGCCCGCAGGGAGGGATTCTGCTCCTCTTCATTCCGGGTTTGCGGCGGCATTCTGCACGCACGCAGGACAAGCGCTGCATCAACGGGTCGCGGCAACGGCCGCATCATTCTGCGACGTCTGTTGAGTCTTGACGTTCCTCTCCGCGCCCGGCAATTGACACGAGCGCCCAACGAATGGAACCCTGTGCGGAAAGTGCCGGCGACGGACGGCCTGTGGTGAGCCCCCCGGGTCGCGGGGAGATGGAGATGGACGCTGGGCCCTGACGCCTGAGTCCCTGGCAAGACCCGCTGGATGATGACTGACACAGACGGGACAGACGCGGAACGGTCGCGGCACTCCTTCGAGGAGCGGCTGTTGGCAGTGGGACATCGTCGCTACGGGGCACGTTGGGGAAACACCAAGATAGGCGAGCCGCGCCGTGGATGGGCCCATCCCACGGGATGAGATGGGATGAGAGGAATGGGAGGAATGGGGGAGCGTGCGCGCGGCCGTTCTCGTGGCATGGCGTCGACTCTTCAGCCCTGCCGAGTTACGAGACTTGCCGAGCCGCGCGCGGCGGTTTGGACGCGGCGTCCCCCCCGGGTCCCGCCGCAAGCCACGCCAGGGCAGGGTTTGGGCAGGGGTTGGGTAGGGGTCGGCATCACGGCAGCTCGTCGACGCTTGTTGCGCTCCACCGCGTCCAACGTGCCCAACGACACGCCGTCGGCGACGCCGACCGACTCCACCGTCCACGTACGACGAGTAATACTACGAGGACATCGCGTTCTTGGCTCCGCCAGCACCCACATGCAACCGAACCTATTGGCCTGGTTGAGACACTTGCAGGTTGTTGCCATGCCCCGTTCAAAAGGAACCGCTTGACTGTGGACCTCCCGACCGAGGCGGGCCAGTTGCCGTTGCCCACCAAGCAGCGACGCCGACCCAAGACCGGGCCTACCTGGGTGGTCCGTCAGCAAACCGACAATCTTCTCTCTCACTCCTCGCCGCCCATGGCACCAAGCGCTCGGCGGCTTCCAGTGCCTCCCCGTGTCGACGCCACGATCCACCGTTGATGATGTGAACCGCTCCCCCGGGCATCTCTGACACTGCGACCGAGTACCACGTACGAGTACCCGTACTCGTGCTTCGTAGGGTGCTGCGAGACGACAAGCCCGGCCGAAACCGCCCTCGCCGTCATCGCGACCACCACTTCCAAGGACGCGCCAGCCAGGACCCAATGGATCAACCCAATCTTGCATGCTGCCAAGACTGACCAGCGTCCCGCGACCTCAATTCCACTGATGACATGACCAGCCCGAGGACCCAGCGCCGCCGCCAATCCTTCTTCGACCCCGGCTGCAACGTCCTGGCGTGTGGGCTCCCCTTCTCCCGACCCCGACACAGACATCGCCGAGTGCCGTCGCGCGCCGCTTTCTTCTCTTTGCATCCTCTCGTCTCCGAATCGCTGACATCGCGCGAGCGAAGCATCAAACTCCCGCGTCGAAGCCGAATCCTCCCCCAAGGCGACTGGGCCTCGCCTCTATGGACTCGATCACGCCCGCGCCTGACAATACTTCTCCTCAGCGTCATGGCGAAACGTCCCATGGCCACCATGGCAGACCTCTAGCATCCGACCTGCGCGACGATGCCCCGCCGCCTTCGAATCGATTCGCCTTCACGGCGGCCCAGTTGCACACCCTGATCACCTTCCGGAGCCTGCCAGCTCTTGAGGCGTTTGGTGGCATACCGGGTCTCGTAGCTGGGTTGCGTACCGACACCGCGGCCGGGCTCAGTGCCGACGAAACGACATTTGATGACACCATCGTCTTTGAAGAAGCCGTCGCTGCTGGCCGCGAGTGTCGGACGCCCCGGTTCTGCACGGCCGAACCTCTGAGTGCGGTGCCTGCTCACCATGCGCTGCGGTTAGGCGAGGGTCCGGATCCGCACTTTGCCGACAGGAGGCGCATCTTTGGGACCAACCAGCTGCCGCGGCGTCGTCATAAGTCTTTCCTCAAGCTTATTTGGATTGCTTTCAATGATAAGCTCCTGATCTTGCTCACCATATCCGCCACCATTTCTCTCGCCATCGGCATATACCAATCCGTTGGGGAGGCGGGGTCGTCCAATATCGAATGGGTGGATGGCGTCACCGTCGTCATTGCCATTATTATCATCGTTCTGGCTACCGCTGCCAACGACTGGCAGCAGAACCACAAGTTCGAGAAGCTCAACGAACGGAACCAGCAGCGCGAGGTCACCGTGGTTCGCTCTGGCCGCGCTCAGAAGATATGGATACAACATGTCCTCGTCGGCGACGTCATGATTATTGAGGCTGGCGACATTGTCGCCGTCGACGGTGTTCTCATCCAGGCATCGGGCCTCCATGTTGACGAGTCGTCGGTGTCTGGAGAATCTGGCTTGGTCCAGAAGACAGTCCCTGCCGACCACGATGCCACGCATGCATCCATGGCCGACCCCTTTATCCTGAGCGGCACCACTGTGAACCGCGGAGTTGGCCGCTACCTTGTCACATCGATTGGCGCCAATTCTACGCACGGCCGCACGCTCATATCCCTCAGGGAGGATGTGCAGGTCACCCCTCTCCAGGAGAAGCTCGGGCGACTCGGGAAGCAGCTCATCATCTTCGGCGCTGCTGCCGGTGCCATTTTTTTCATCATCCTCTTCATCCGCTACCTGACCCGGTTGAAACACATGTCTAGTAAGGGTCCGTCCAGCAAGGCAGAGACATTCTTCCACATCCTCATCCTCTCAATCACCGTGGTCGTCATAACCGTGCCTGAAGGCCTTGCCTTGAACGTCTCCGTCGCTTTGGCCTTCGCGACGAAACGAATGCTCAGGGACAACAATCTTGTTCGTCTCGTCCGCTCCGTCGAGATCATGGGCAATGCCACCTGCGTCTGCTCTGACAAGACAGGCACTTTGACGCAGAACAAAATGACGGTCGTGGCAGGCCGGATAAGCTCAGACGGCAGCTTCGACGACATGGAGACATCAGCCACTGCCGCGGGACAGCCCGTGTCGAGCACGCCCGCCGCCAGGCTCAACAGCTCGGCTCGACTTGCCGCTTCATTATCGGACGAGGTCAGAGAATTGATCAAGGACAGCATTGCTCTGAATTCGACGGCCTTTGAGAGCGTTGAGGCGTCGGACTCTGACTACTTTGGCTCAAGCACGGAGACCGCCCTGCTCAAGTTCAGCCGCGATCACATGGGTATGGGAATATTGAGTGTCGAGAGAGCCAACAACCCTAAAGTCGCTTTGCTCCCTTTCGATTCGTCTCGGAAATGGATGGCCACTTTGGTGAAGCTGCCCAACGGCCAATACCGTCTTCTCGTCAAAGGCGCTGCTGAGGTAGTCTTCGAGTATTGCGCCTTCTTGATCGAGGATCCAACGTACATCCTCTCCACCGAGCGACTCACCGCGGACCACAGGTCCAGTTTTGACAGAACCATCACCAACTACGCCACCAATATGTTGCGTCCGGTGGCCATTGCTTACAAGGACTTTGATGCATCTGATATTTTCGAAAGCCCTGATGACGACCCTGCGGCCGTAAACCTAGAATGGCTTGCCTCAGGACTCAGACTGATTGGCATTTTCGGCATCCGAGATCCCCTTCGCCCGGAGGTTATTCAGTCAGTTCGCCAATGTCAGGATGCCGGTGTGTTTGTTCGCATGGTTACGGGCGACAACTTTCTTACGGCAAAGGCCATCGCTGCCGAGTGCGGAATTTTTACACCCGGCGGTATCGCCATGGATGGTCCCACGTTCCGCAAGCTGTCGCCATCTCAACTGGACGCGGTGGTCCCGCGGCTTCAAGTACTGGCGAGATCGAGTCCCGAGGATAAGCTCTTGCTGGTCACTCACCTGAGTTCCATGAAAGAGACGGTGGCAGTCACTGGCGACGGAACCAACGACGCGTTGGCGCTCAAGGCCGCTGATGTTGGCCTAGCAATGGGAATACAAGGCACAGAGGTTGCCAAGGAGGCTGCTTCCATCATTCTTCTCGACGATAACTTCGCGTCAATTGTCAAGGCGTTGAGCTGGGGCCGCACCGTCAACGACGCGGTCAAGAAGTTCTGCCAGGTACGCAGACATACCCGGAACCGAATCGAGACGCAGGTACGAAGTAGACGCTGACTGTGTTACGATTCTAGTTTCAATTCACCGTCAACATCACCGCCGGTACGCTTACGGTAATTTCGAAGCTCGTCGGCCACTCCATCTTTCATGTCGTGCAACTGCTTTGGATCAACCTCATCATGGACATCTTCGCATCTCTCGGCCTTGCCACAGACCACCCGTCGCCGGACTTCCTCAAACGCAAGCCTGAACCACGCAACGCATCAATCATCAGCATCACGATGTGGAAAATGATTCTCGGACAGGCGATTTACCAACTCGCTGTTGTTTTCACAATTCACTACGCTGGCTGGGATCTGTTCGATGTCGACACCCGAAGCGAAAAGCAGAGGCTCCAGACGCTCGTGTTTAATATATATGTCTGGATGCAATTCTTCAACCAGCACAACTGCCGCCGTGTCGACAATAAACTCGACATTTGGTACCAGGGAGTCCTTAAAAACCCGTGGTTCATCGGCGTGCAATGTCTCACAGTGGTTGGACAATTCATCATCATCTTCAAGGGAGGAGAGGCATTCAACACGGTGCCTCTAACTGGCGCGAATTGGGGCTGGAGCATACTTTTTGGCGTCCTCACTATTCCTCTAGGCGCCTTGATTCGTCAGATCCCCGACCGTTATGTTCTCGCCTTTTTCCAGCTCTGCAAGAAAGTGTTTCTCTTCGTCGCCAAACCGCTGCGACCGTTACTTTCCTGCTGCTCATCCTTTTCTAGTCTTCGGGCGCGCAAGCGTCAAAAGTTGGACAGCGAACAACAACAGGAGCTGGCGGCTGTACAAAGCAAGCCTCCACAGACGAGAGAAACAATGCAATCGCAGGCCTCTCAGGACGGACAGACGACGATCAGTGACGTGACCGAGATAACGGAGACGACGCCAAAGGTGGTGGATTTGCAGGCGATGATTGAGGCTGCTAAGCTTCGCAGACCGTGCGGCACGGACATTCTAGAGCTGCACCCGAAGACGCTCAAGGATGATCCGATCTTGAGGACGAGGAGCGACGTGAGGATCCCGCCGAGCCAGGATGTCATGCTACGAAGGTTGATGGTGCGTGATGAAGAGGACGACAACCGTGGCCGGGGCCGACGGCGGCGGACGCCAGCCCGAGCAGTCTGGGTTGAGCCCACACGGCCGTCACAGCCTGTACGATCCGGGCAAGCACCAACACGAGAGAGCCGTGGTATCACATGGGAATCACTGTTGAGATCGAAGAGAAGGTAAACAAGGCTCGCGATGCATGTGCCTCGTTACTGGTACTCGTCGAGCGACACGCAGCGCAAACAGATGAGACGCGCTGGATCGACAACGACCACAGACGGAGCAAAGACGAGTGGGCGCATGCTGGCCGCCGTTGCCTTTGACGAATGCATGACGTCTCCCTTCATCAGCACATACACATATATTTGGGTTACGGGGAACATGTAGATAGATCCCTTGTATTGTAAATGCATTAATGAAATCATCAAGATGTAAAGGATTTGCCTTGATAGGATCCAAGAAGGTAGCGATTGACGAATGGAGAGAGTCCGCAAGAGCCAGCTCATTGTTGCATCCTGTGCGTGTTCCTCCCTCCCTCCGTCGCGGACTATCTGTTCCCGGTGTCGCTCTCCATCCACACACCCCCGCTCACGAGCCGGCTGAATGGCCCGCTCGCCTGCTCCAGCTCCTGGACGCTCCGTCCTTCCTCGACCTTGACGCCGTCCTCGAGAACCACAATCTTGTCCGCGACGTGCATCATGGTCGATGCTGTGCGTGACGAGAACGATGGCCATGCCAGCGCCTTCGCTGGCTATGGCGCGTCCCTTGGCCGGAGCGGCGACGTCGTGGCAGAGGCTCGACTCGCCCCGGACGAGGTCACTGATGATCTGACGGACGGCGGCCGCGTTCTTCGCGTCGAGCGCGCTCGTGGGTTCGTCCATGACGAGGAGCCGCGGTCGACGGACGAGCGCGCGCGCGATGCACAGCCGTTGCGCCTGTCCGCCCGAGAGCGTCAGGCCACCGTCGCCGACGACAGTATCGTACCCCTGCGGAAGAGACGCGATGAAGTCGTGCATGTTAACGGCCCGGGCGGCGAGAGTGATGCGCGCGAGGCGATCGTCCGATGACACCGCGTCATCCGCCGCGAGACCGTAGGCGATATTGTCGGCGATGCTGGGGGGGAAAATGAACGGCGACTGCGGGACGTACGACATGGAGGAGCGGAGGCTCTGCATCTCGAATTCGGAGTAAGGCAAATCGCCAAACCTGAATGTAGCGGTGCCGCGGCGCCTAGGCGAAGGGTTGTACAGGCCGAGGAGCAGAGAGACGATGGTGGACTTGCCACAGCCGGACTGGCCGACAATCGCCGTGCACTCGCCTGCTTCAATGTCCAGGGTCACTCCCCGGAGAGCCGGCTCAGAGGGCTGAAGCGGATACGCAAATGTGAGGCCGCGCATGCTCACAGGAAGGGGGTCGCGAGGCTTCCCGGACGACTGGTCGGTGTCCCGCGATTCCAGAACCAAGCCTGCATACTTGAGAAGCTGAGCCGCGGCGGCCTGCGCTATGGTGAGCTGAGGGATGCCGCTTAGTAAGGGTTTTTCCGGTGATCTGCCGGATCTGGCGATCTGCCGGATTCACCGCTCCTTTGACCTTCGATATCAATCGGCATTAACTCAACAGCCATGACGCCGATTGACGAGGCTCTTGCCTTTCTGAAGTCGTCGGATGTGATTAATTATGCTGCCACTGCACGTCGTTTCAACTGCGACGAG